CTCTTCTTGTGTGCTTTAGGCTTTTATTAGCAAAATACGGAGCTCTTCCACCAGGCATTTGCTTAAGGAGCCGCCCGCAACCATCTGAGGCCCTCGCCCCAACACCACCAATACTATCAATATTAATAACATAATAACATCATTATCATCACTGAATAGCCTGTGCAGCACTGATATGACCCAGACCATGCGCTAACTGTGGACTCCCGCCATGGTATATGTTATTGCTAGCACTTTATATATTGTTTTAAACTTAATTTATTGTAATTTTACTTGAGAGATTGTTTTACCTGTAATAGTGATGTGAACCGCCCTGAGCCTGCTACGGTGGGGAGGGCGGGATAGAAGTCAAAATAAATAAATAAATAAAATACTCAATGGGTGATGTAGATGATGGAGAAGCCAGAAGGGTGGGGAGCGTGACTTACCCCATCCTCTTGTGGCTGGCTAGTCTCCACAGAAGCAAGCCAAATGCAAAGATAAGGATCCTGCCCTGCCAATGATTGCTTACACTGTGCACAAGCCCTCTGGAGAACGGAAGGCCCCAGCACAATGGAAGGTCACTGTGATCAAAAGGATTGGCTTCCGCACGAGACATGAAAGACCTCCCATGTGGGCTCTGGCTTTTCCGAGGTGTCTCTCATCATTCCTTACATAATCCCCCAGCTTCCCTTTTGGAATGCTGGGCAGTGTCTTCTATTGTAAAACTCTAGGCTCCTTAACTACTCCTACCTAAACCTAAACAATCTATTTTGGGGGGAGGCATTAGCATGCTCTAGAGTCATGAAGCCTAAAAGGGCTGAAACAGGTTTTGTCTACTGATTCTGAATAACTTTCCTTTGTTTTCTCATATTTAATTAACAGAAACATACCCATTATCTGGGCGGCCTCCAAATGTCGCTCAGGGCACATGGGTGCTGTGAAAGTAAACACCGCTGGAGATGTGAGCACCACAGAGAGACCGTGTGGCTGAAGGAAACAAAAGATAAGGCACGTTAATCACAATACTGAAAAATCCATAGGAGGATTTGGGGATGGCACCGTGACTCAGTGGGGGAGCTCTCCAGCTGCCAGTCAGAGCAGACAATACCAACGCAGATAGACCAATGGTCTGACTCACAATGTACTTGAAGATATCTCTAGCAATAAATATACAAATGACGAATAGATATATGTAAATTATTACCACTAGAGAATGATCCACAGGATAATCCTTTGCTTTATAATTCTTCACCAAGCCGGAAATGGGATAAGACATGCCATGGCTATAGGAAAAAGAAATACATTTTATTATTAAAATATTTTGTATGGATAGATAAATACAGGGGGGAAACTAAAAAGTGTGACAATTATCAGTGTGGTGCAATGGTTAAGAGCGGCGGAGTCTAATCTGGAGAAATGGATTTGATTCTCCACTCCTCTTCATGAAGCTTGCTAGGTAACCTTGGGCCAGTCATAGTTCTCTCAGAACTCTCTCAGACGCATTTACCTCACAAGATGTCTGTTGTGGGGAGAGGAAGGGAAGGGGATTGTGAGCCACTTTGAGACTCCTTAAGTTAGAGAAAAGTGTGGTATAAAAACCAACTCTTCATAACTGATCAGAGAAAGTGCAGGTAATTCTCAAGGGATCTATGAATAGTTTGGCTCAACTCATGTTTTAATTGGACCAATGGTTAAACCAGTGTTCTAGTGATGATGAAATAATAGCAATAAATAATTCAAATACAAATAAAAATGGAGTGCCTCATCCAGAAAAGCCTCTGTGCCAAGAAGTTGTCTGTATTTGAAGGTGCATGAGGCTGACAGCTATTTGTACCTGAATGCAGAAACAAATGCCCGTACATTACTCATCCTGAAGGCAAATGGTTTAGCTGAATCATGCCTTCTGTCACACATAGAAAGTCTTGCTTACTGTGAGGTAGAACTTCCCAAATAGAAACCTTTTGGTGTGTCATTCAATTCCATATTGGAAGTAAGTATATTTGAGTACAGTAAAAAAAATCTTAATATTGTATGGAATTTTCAATTGAATTATTAAATATTAATCTAAAACATTTTTTATCTTTCTGCACAGTATTCCAATTTTGGTCCTATTTTATTTATTGTTAATTGCCTTACATGGTGTTACAGGGACTCTGTTGCTTGGTGTATTTGGTACTATTTGACCTCTGAAGAAGGCTCTTGTGAGCTGAAACACGTCAGGTCATACACTGTCCTTTTCTGTGTATTTGTAACTTTGGACATTTTATGAGGCTTTATTTGGGCCCCTACAAGGTTTTTATGTGTATTTGAAATAAACACTCTTTTGTATACTTACTTATGCTTTTAACTTTTGGCCCTCAATAAGTTTTCTAAACTTCCTTTGGAGATTCAAATCCCTACTCTGCCATGCAAACTTGCTGGGTGACCTTGCGCCAGTCACACACTCTCAGACTGCCTCACAAGGTTATTTTGAGAATAAAATCGAGGAGAGGAGAATGATGTAAGCCACTTTAGGTTCCCCACTGGGGAGAAAGGTGGGGTATGAATAAAGTGAATAAATAAATAATATTTCCACCTCTAGACAGGCACTAACTTGCTTCTTTGAAAAAGCCAATTTTTTACATCAGAAGTTGTCCTACAGCACTGATTACATTTTAAGCAGACAAAGCCCAATTTTTTAAAAACACTCTGGTTTTCCATCTAAAGGGCTCCTTTGATTGACAACTGTGATTGTTTATTTTTAAGATACTGCATTTCCACAGCATAATCACACGGAACAAAATCAGAGCAATAGAATAGCAGCCGAGCTTGTGCCCAACTCACCAAAGGTGTACACCGGCATTCCCAAAGCCAATGCCTGCAAAAGCACTAGCAAGATGCATATTGGCCCTCGCTTCTCGATCCTCTGGGTCCCTGATGGCTCTGTGCATAATGGAAATATTTTACTCAAATAAGCAGACGTGTGTACAGGGGGAAAACACACTATAATGTAGCCTGTTAGAAATTAACCAGTTTATCCTGGCCTCAGTTTTCATGGGCAACAACCTACTTCAGCGCATGCTCAGAGAAAACAAGCTTTAATTTGGGCCTTGTGTGGGACACAGTCCTTGCTTATCTGCTTACATGATGTTATAAGAATTGTAGCAGAACAGTGGCCAGCAACTATGCTTAGAATGCACCCAGCTTCTCTGAAAACAGCAAAGGCTGTGGATTTACCTGCATCATTATTTAAAACCCACTAGTGTAGGAGAAGCTGTCTATTTGAAAATCACTGGCATTAGGTCTGTGCCAATAATGGTCACAGATGATGGCAGTACACTGCATGATTTCTGGCAAGTGGTACCCACTGCACTTGTACCCATGAAAGGTTTGCATGTTCCTTTTGTATGATTGAGACCTGTTATGCAGCTTCCATGACATGTATTTCAGCTGCTTAGCAAGTCTTCATGTTCTCATACTGAAACTTGTGCCAGGAAGCAAAATCCTCTAAGAGTCATCTTGTATTTTCTGATCCATTGTATTGTCTATTGATCTATTTTCTGATCCACTGTAATGATTTTACTCATCCTAACAAAATCATACTCTATTATTTGAGCTTAGATTATTTCCCCCCCATTAGCATTATATGGGAAGAAGTTTTACAGAGGAGATGGAAGGTCATATCTTTTACCTCTTTAAATATTTGGCAACGATCTGCAGTGCATGGATGGCCCAGACATCACTGATAGGGTTACTTCCTTGATAAGCCGGTCGGTTCTCTGGATTTGTAGGGCAGGGACTGCGCTTACTGTAGGGAAGAATAGGATTCGAGGGCATGGCTGGCAGGAGAATGGATGGAGAGAATAAATAAAATGGAATAGCTTGAATTAATTTAGTCTATCCTAGAGGATTTGCAAAACCCCTATAAAGAAGGGCTGAGGGAGTGCTTCCAACTGTTCCATATCCCAGCACAAAAATAACCCCCAGTTTAGACAATTATTTTCAAGCATGACAAAAGACAAGTTATTAATGTACGGTATTTAGTGGATTGACTTAAATACAGAGGTCATTTCGGGGGGGATCGCGGGGGATCGCAGTTCCCCCGGGTGAGGTGTGGGAGGGCGGGGCACATGATGAAGCCCTGCCCCCTGCTTCCAGCCGCCCCGCTTCCGGCCCTCATTCAGCCAGGAGGAGGCAGGAGAAGAGGGAGGGTAAGTTGCTTCCTCCCCGCCTCTCCCCACCCCTGCCTGCCTGGAGCCAGGGTGGGTCTTGGCGGGGCTTCCTCGCACTCCCGCCGGCCTTGCAGGCCCACCGCCGGGCCTCTGATGTCAGGGGGTGTGGCATATGCTAATGAGTTATGCTAATGAGTTCCCCTAGCTCTTTTTCTACGAAACGACCCCTGCTTAAATATAATCTTCTCTGCAGTCTGTGCCTGCATTGGCCATGGTGGGGCTGTTTGCAGCTGGCTGTTGTTACCGGATGTGTATCATCCTGCTAGGACAAGCCTGAACTTGCTCTGCCTTCCTGGATCATATTGTACCCTGGGGCCAGTTCAAGTTCTCCTATATGAGGCAGCTACGTCTGTTGTTCAATTGTCTTCATTCTAGAGTTGGTAAAAACTTGCTCTTTCCTTTCCACACGGTACTTCTTGCCAAAGAGGCAGAGAGAAGACTTTCATTTTTAATTTTTCTTTACCATGGGATCTCCTGTAACCGAGTAAGTTACAAACATCAGCGTATGTTACCTAAGACAAGCACTAAGTAAGAAAATAGGGGAGGGGATGAGGATGTGGGGGCATGACGATAGCTGCATCATTACACCACTTCCGGAGAAAACCTGGAAGTGATGTAGAATTGCCAGAAACTTGAAGGGTATGATTTCTAGAGTTACCCTATGTCACTCTTGGGTTTTCCCTGGAAGTGACATAGCAACACAGTCAATGCCACCATTTCCCCCCCAGTTTTCTCCTGCTGCCATGTGGAGCAGTAGCAAGCAACTAGGGCTGCTAGTGGGAGACCTCCCACCACAGCAGGAAGCCTGGCAGCCCTGTTAGAAAAGCATTTCTCTTTGCATTTCTTCGACTGCCACTTTATGCTTTCTGTATATTTAATAAAAGCCCATTGAAGAACAGAGAAGGCAGAGCAATGGTGTCTCTCAGCCCCCCTGTGGAACAGCGGGTTTGGAAAAATCACCATGGAAGCTTGCCTTTGAGAACACCCCATTGTGACTTTTCTGGGCCCAGTTGTCTTTCTATACTAATTCTCTTCAAGATTAGCTTAGTAAGACTTTCTCTTGCCATTGCCATGGTGAATAAATGTGCCTCCTGCCGATTTTGCAAACAGTTCAGAAGCACCTCCTGGCTACCACTTTGAATGCCCCATGAAGTGATGTGTGTGTGTGTGTGTGTTAAGCAGAGACCCAACCATCCTAGAAGAAAGCAGTAAGGCCAGAGCCCCATTTCTTCTCCCCTCCAGTTTAATGCAGCAGTGGATGACAGATTGGCAAGGGCACTTTCACTCATTCATCCAGTCACCTGTTTATAGTGCTCCAGGCTGAATTCAAGTAGAGATGGAATGGGCATCTCTAGGATAAAGCATAACACTTCAGTCCAATAATTTTTGAAACACTTCTGGCTAAGATGAAAGAGACCTGTGGATCCACTCATCTCTCTCAAGAACCTGTGGATCCACTCATCCCTCTCAAGACCTTGCTGACAAAAGCTTCCGTCACTTTTCTTCTACTTCACCTAAATCCAAATTTTTCAGCATATTTTGAAGACTGTCTCAAAGGAAAGTAAGCAAACATGCCTCTTTCATATGCAGGTATCTACAAATTCAGTCATTTATCTGTGGTTACCACCAACGTCTCTATTCCCTAGGTTCAAACATATCAGGGAAGAATTTATGCTGTACTTTCGTTGGGCCAACTTTGTGATGTCATGTCAGAAAGAAATGTGAGACATTATAGCAACAGCTAGTAATATGGGAAAACATGTGGAGAGAGCATATCCAAATTACAAACTTATACAAGTTTCATAGCGTATAACTATAATTAATTATACCAACAACTCCTGAGAATTTTAGATGAGCCTGTTGAGAATCCTGTTTGACCCCATTCTCCTCAGATTTCCTTGAGAATAACGACTGACTGCTAAACCAGTTTAACTTTGTAGTGTGGGTATGTTCAGACAGCAAGAAGAACAAGGAAACTAGGGGTAAATACACAGAAGTACAGCAACTGAAAACTCAAATGGTAAGCCAGATTGTCATTCTTTCTCAAAATGATTTAATGCAGAGTCATCATCAACATAAACATCCAAGATATTATAAAATATTAAAAAGGAAGCATCCAATATGTACCAAAGATACTTACCAAAGCACATCAAAGCCACTGTTGGCTGCCACCCGCTCAGGCATATGGAGAGTATGTGAGGGATCAACAAGGCCCAAAGAGGGTTTAATGGCTCTAGAAGCAATGCCTAAACATGGACATTACATAAATGTGTAATTAGAAATAGGAACTCTTCAAAGAATTTTGCAACAATATAAAAAGAGTTTGGTAAATGCTGAGCTGCAATGTAACAGAGCTTCAAGCTATTGCTGAGGAAAATATGTATATGATCCCAGTAAGGATTACCAATTTTAGGAAAAAATTATCCTAAGGATCTGTTAAAGGAAGGGTATTTACTCTGTAGATATACTCTGGTTATGTTGTGCATGAAAACTTGTATTGTGCATGAAAAGTTTATGAGAAACAATATATCACAGACAAGACTTTTCTTCTTTGACAGAAATGCTTAGTTCTTAACAATACTCTGTTTAAAACCCCATATATTTTACCATGTCTCATATATGAAAAACGCATGCAAGTCTGCTTTGTTATATCTACAAAGATTTATGAACAGGTCCATCTCATTAGTCATTTCAAAACTGTTTTGGCTTCTCTTGAAATTGGCCAAGGAAAAACTTCCATGCCATTCTGAATTTTATGTGGCATCTTCCTCAGAAATTTCACTGTCCTTATTAAAATATGTTGGCCTTCCTTGAAATTCCTCATACTTTCCACGTCAGGAGAAAACTTCAAATTCACTTAGATTTTCATTTGAAACAACAGTGTGGCAGCAACTTGTTGAAAGCTGGAAAACCCCAACTGGTGGCATACACCTGCATCTTGCACACACAGCAACCCAGACACGTGCATATAATAAAGTACAGATGAGTTGTATGAAATTTGCTACTTATAAGTGGAACTCAAGTAGCAAATGAATCAAGCGTGAAGAAACTCTGAGTTTATCCAAAACACAAACAAAAGATTAGGGTATGCAAAGTTTTCACCAGCTCAGTTTCTGTTTTTGTTCTTTCAACTGTAGTTCCTGCATCACACACGCATTTTACAGTTATAAAACATTTGAGAAGACACTTCCTCTTGAGAGATTTATTGTTGAATGTGGGGGGAAAGTGGAAGTACTGAACATAATAGAAAATAATATGCCACAACATTAAAAAAATATCCTGGTACAGAACCAAGGTACAATATAAATTCCTTACCCGTTTTTGCTTTTAGTTGTTTGTAATCAAAAATAGCAACTCCAGTGGTTTCACTTCCAGTTCCAGCTGTTGTAGGAACTTCAAAAAAGAATGGATGGTTATAGCATACACAGTAGCATACACATGCTTGGGCTTAATGGACTCTCAAATAGTTGGATTCTATGAATCCGTTCCATTAGAGATGGTGCTTTTTTCAGAACAAGAAGCCTTCCCCAATTCAAGAGGCCCATTGGTAGAAAAGCCTCTTTTATCTATGGGACTAGTATGGTGTAGTGCTTAGAGTGTCAGACTAAGATCTGGGAGACCTAGGTCTCAGTCCCCACTCTCACGGAAGCTTGCTGTGAGACTTTGGGCCAATCATACTCTCTCAGCCTAACCTACTTCATAGGGTTGTTGAGAGGATAAAGTGGAGGAAATAAGAATGATGTAAGCCACTGGTGAGAATTGTAGAGTATAAAATAAATAAATTAAACAAAATTAGCAGGGGAAGGCTTTTTGGATTGAGGGAAAGCACCACCACTAGCAGAACAGATTTGTGGGGACTAACCTATAATCTCTATGCCCGAGGGCAATTTGTGTGAAATGGTTTGATTATTAAACCCACTAAGGGCTCACTCAGAGCATCATGTAGGAAGTTCCCAGTCAGTCTCCCAACCAGACAAGTTACAGGGATAAGCCTGCCTATATGATATTTTAAAATTCAAAACTACCACACAAATGTTGCTGTTTTATAAGCAAAATTTTAAAATGTACTCCTTTACCTGCAATCAATGGCTTGAGAGTGACTTTAACGGGCTTTCCTTTTCCAATGGGAGCACTGACATAATCTAAGAATTCAGAATCAGGGCTGGATGCGTAGAGATTAGCACATTTACAAGTGTCGATTACGGAACCTCCTCCTACAGCAACATAGGAATCAAACTCTCCCTTTTTAGCAAACTCGATGGCATTCAAGAAGCTTGGAAAGAAAAGAACTTTTGATTTATTTGAAGCTTTATCCTGCTCCACCCAAGAACTCACAGCACGTCATAACAGTAAAAAAAAACTAAAAGACTTAAAATAAAGAGCTGGCCGTTCAGCATTACAAGTACAGCTGGGAATCACTTGCACTGGTGATTCCTAAATCTTGATATCTGTGAAAACATATGACCACATGGGGACCACACAGCCAGCTATGATCAGGAAAACTCACAAACTCTTGGGTCTATATCCTGTTCTTTAAGTGAAAACAAGAAACTGGTCAGATAGATTTGTTCAGCTTGACTAGTCAGTGAACTTGATCCCCCCCAACCTTCCCCCATCAGAATATCTACTAGCCTCCCCATATAGCCAGGCCTTTTCTGTGGTTGCCCCAGAGCTCTGGAATCCTTTGGTCCCCCCCATTAGAACAAGCATTCTGCTGAGGCATGAAAACCTTTCTGAGTTTCAGGACTTTTAACTGAAATGACTTTAAACCTGTTGTCTGAGTTTTTAGATCCTGCTTATTTTATAGTTCCACTCTCATAAGAACATAAGAGACGCCAATGTTGGATCAGGCCAAAGGCCCATCCAGTCAAACACTCTGTGTCACACAGTGGCCAGAAATACCAGGTGCCATCAGGAGGTCCACCAGTGGGGCCAGGACATTAGAAGCCATCCCACTGTTGACCCCCCCCCAAGCACCAAGAAGACAGAGCATCACTTGCCCCAGAGCCCCCATCTATACCTCGTGGCTAATAGCCACTGATGGACCTCTGCTCCATATGCTTATCTAATTCCCTTTTGAAGCCGTCCATGCTTGTAGCCGCCACCACTTCCTGTGGCAGTGAATTCCATGTGTTAATCACACTTTGGGTGAAGAAGTACTTCCTTTTATCCGTTCTAACCCGACCGCTCTGCAGTTTCATGGAGTGCCCACAAGTTCTTGTATTGTGAGAAAGGGAGAAAAGTACCTCTTTCTCTACCTGCTCTTTCCCATGCATAATCTTATAAACCTCGATCATGTCACCTCTCAGAGGAATACTCTCAGAGGAATTCCTCTCAGAGGAATACTTAGCTCATCTTTTCGTTAAACACAATTTCAATGATTTTATGGCTGCCAAATTTTATCTGTTGTACATTGCTTTGCACTTTTGGAATGGCAGCTAACAAATCTAATAAATAAATAAGCACTTTTAAAAAGCAACCTTTAATTATAAGGCAGTGGGAACCTACTAGTCAAGAAGGTTGGGGAAGAAAGTTTCCCCAGCCAAGCACACAGCAGCTAATAAGTATAAAGGTTAACATATACTTCTTGCTTCCCTACAAACTACATTCCAGACCCAATCGACCCAATCTTCAGAATCCTGGAATAAAA